TAAATAAGCATTGGACAGAGAATCAGTCATCAGTTGCTGAAAGGGTGGGCAGTGCCTGTTAAATGCAGTTTGTGGCCTGCTGGACCACTTCCGACCCGCCCGGTGACCTACTCCTTCCATTTTTGGGGTGGAAAGGGTTGGAAATATCAGGCAGCTAGTACAACCAACACCCCGCCCCCCCGCCTAGCACCCCCTCAGCCCCACTGAGGTGATTAAGTGGCCAATTAGCAACTTCATGCTGCCCTAAGGAGACCCATGCCAATACCAGCAGCCTTGCAGCCTTTACTGCACATGCTGGTGTGGGGCAAAAAAGTTGGCCACCTCACCTCCTTTGGGGGGAGAGAGATCCCCCGTCAGCATCTGAGGCACCAAACCCCACCTCCCCGAATCCCACTTCCCCAACACTGAGGTCATACCATATTCTACCTTTCATCTTCCAGTGGTCTCTCAAACCCTCAGTCCCCTCACCTCCTGCCCTCAAACCACCCCACCCTTGCTGGGGTCTGCAGGCCAGACTTTGCCTGTGGCTCACACTCGCTTCAGTCCAGCCTTGGCACTTGGGGACCTGCTGCTGTCCCAGTTGTGGCCACCATTCAAACCTGGCGCTGTTGTCTCTACAGTTGCCAACCAATCAATGAGGCAGGATTTCCTCTATAAAGGAGGGGCAAAAGTCTCACCCTCAATTAATAAATGCCTCTCACTCATTCCCCCATCCCATTTCTCCTCCCAGTGCAAAACAGCCCAAGGGCAAGCCTTCTCACAGACAGGCTCCCTGTTGACTTTCGAGTTGCCGAGGGTTTAGGGCCATCATTATTTACAACATATATTAATGACTTGGATGAGGAAAGTGAACACTCTATAGCCAAGTTTGCAAATGACGCAAAAATGGGTGGGAAAGAAAGTGATGAGAGTGACATTAGGAATCTGCAGGGGGATATAAGCAGTTTAAGCGAATGGGGAAGAACTTAGCAGATGCAATACAATGTAATAAAATGTGACGTTATGCACTTTGCAGGAGGAATAGAAGGATGGAATATTATTTAACTGAAGAAAGACTGCAGAAAACAACAGCACAGTCGGATTCGGGAGTCCTCATCTATGAATAATAAAAAGCTAGCATCCAAATTCAGCAGTTCATAAAGAAGGCAAACTGAATAAAACAAAGAACCATGGATGCTGGAAATCTGAAAGAAAAACAGAGATTGCTGGAGAAACTCAGCAGGTCTAGCAGCATCAGTAGAGCGTAAGCAGAGTTAGCATTTCGGGTCCAGTAACCCTTCTTATAAAAGGAATATTGGCCTTTATTTGAAAGGGGATGTGTTAAAACAAAAGGGGGAATTATTACTAAAACTATACTAGGCACCAGCACTTGTCAGATCCCAGTTGGAATTCTGTGATCAGATTTGGGACCCATATTTGAGGAAAGATAGACTAGCATCGGAGGCAGTCCAGAGAAGGTTCACTCGGCTGATCCCAGGAATGGATGGACTGTCTTATGAGGACAGGTTGAGTAGGTTGGGCCTGTACTCACTGGAATAGAGAACAATGAGAGGTTATGTTATTAAAATGTATAAGATTCTTATGGGCAAAAACAGAAATTGCTGGAGAAAGTCAGGAGGTTTGTCAGAATCTATCGAGAGAGAGCAGAGTACACGTTTTGGGTCCAGTGGCTGCCAGCAATTTCTGCTTTCATTTCAGATTTCCAGTATCTGCAGTTCTTTGTTTTGAGATTCTTGGGGAATTTGACAGGGTAGATGAACAAAGGTTGTTTCCCTTTGCGAAACAGTCTAGGACCACGGGACATGATCTCAGTGAAAGCGATCAAGCAGTTAGCACATAGGTGAGTTGGAATTTATAATGACATAGGGTAGTGAATCTATGAATTCTTTACCACAGAGGGCTGCTAAGGCTGGGGTCATTAAGAACATAAGAACAAGCAGCAGGCAATTGAGTCCCTCGAGCCTGCTCCACCATTTAATACAATCATGGCTTATCTCATCTCAGCCTCAACTCCACTTTCCTGCCCGCTCTCCATAACCCTTCAACCCATAACTCATTAAAAATCTGTCTATCTCCTCCTTAAATTTACTCAATGTCCTAGTATCCATTACACTCTGGGATAGTGAATTCCTGTGATTTATGACCCTTTGAGAGAAGTAATTTCTCCTCAGCTCTGTTTTAAATCTTCTACCCCTTATCCTAAAACCATGACTCTTGAGATTGCCCCACAGACTCTTTCTACATCCACTTTGTTAATCTCTTTTAGCATCATATATACTTCAATTAGATCTCCTCTCATTCTTTTAAACCAAACAGTATAGGCCTAACCTGCTCAATCTCTCCTGGAGTATTGCGTGCAATCGTGGTCTCCCTGCTATAGGAAGGCTGTTGAGAAGCTTCTAAGAATTCAGAAAAGATTTATGAGGACGTTACCAGGGTTGGAGGGTTTGAGCTATAGGGAGGGGATGAATAGGCTGGAGCTATTTTCCCTGGAGCGCTGGAGGCTGAGGAGTGACCTTATATAGAGGTTTATAAAATCATGAGGGGCATGGATAGGGTAAATAGATAAGGTCTTTTCCCCGGGGTGGGGGAGTCCAAAACTAGGGGGCATAGATTTAAGATGAGAGGGGAAAGATATAAAAGGGACCTAAGGGGCAACTTTTTCCCGCAGAGGTTAGTGCATATATAGAATGAGCTACCAGAGGACATGGTGGAGACTGATACGATTACATCGTTTAAAAGGCATCTGGATGGGTATATGAATAGGAAGAGCTTAGAGGGATATGGAACAAATGCTGGCAAATGGGATCATATTTACACATGATATCTGGTTGGCCTGGACGAGTTGGACTGAAGGGTCTGTTTCCGTGCTGTAAAACTCTATGACTCTAAGACAAACCCTCATCTCTGGCGTCAATCAAATGAATCTTCTCTGAACTGCCTCCAATACAAATACATCCCTCCTCAAGTCAGGGGGATTGAATATTGTATGCAATATTCCAGGTCCAGTCTCAATAACGCAATGTATATTTGCAGCAACACCTCCCTACTTTATTAACCCTGTTCCTTTAGCAATAAATACCAAAATTCCTTATTTGCCTTCTTTATGACCTGCTGTACCTGCATACCAGTTTCCTGTGGTAAGTATATTCAAGGCTGAGACAGACAGATTTTCAGACAGTAAGGGAAACAAGGGATATGAGGTGAAGGCAGGAAGGTGGAGCTAAGGATTACCAGTTCAGCCATAATCTCATCAAATGGCAGAGCAGATTCAATGGGCTGAATGGCCTACTTCTGGATCTATCTCATATACAAAGCCAGTGCAAGCTAGATAGGCCAAGGAAGGCCATTAGATATCAGAGCAGAATTAAGCCATTCAGCCCTTTGAGTCTGCTCCACCATTTTTTTTCTATTCATTTTGTGAGATGTGGGTGTCACTGGCTGGCCAGCATTTCTTGCCCATCCCTAGCTGCCCTTGAGAAGGTGGGGGTGAGCTGCCTTCTTGAACCGCTGCAGTCCACCTGCTGTGGGTTGACCCACAATGCCATTAGGGAGGGAATTCCAGGATTTTAACCCAGCGACAGTGAAGGAACAGCGATATATTTGATCATGGCTGATACACTTCTCAACCCCATCCTCCTGTCTTCTCCCCGTAACTCTTGATTCCCTTACTAATCAAGAGCCTATGTATCAGTCTAAAATTCACTAAATGACTTGACCTCCACAGTCTACTGCAGCAATGAGTTCCACAGATTCACCACCCTGAAGAAATTCCTCCTCATTTCATTTCTAAAGGGTTGTCCCTTCAATCTGAGGCTGTGCCCTCAGGACCTAATCTCTCCAACTGAAAAACCTACTTGAAAATGAAAACTGTTATCAAAATCACAAAATATGAGCATAACATCAAGAAACAGAAAATGCTGCTTTACTCAAAAATCTATGCCATCACAAACTATTCTGGTGAAAAGTCATTGGCATGAAGCAATATTAACTATTTCTCTCTGACATGACCTGCCAAGAACTTCCAGCATTTTCTGCTTTTATTTCAGAATGAGTGAGTGTCCATTGCATTGTTTTGTTCTAACCTCGATTGCACTTCCCTGTTAAGACAGAGCATGTGTTTTCGTTTAACTGCAGGCCTTGTAATCTCTGATAACCTGCACAGCAACAGTGAAGCGGGCAGTGCATTCTAAAACCTTGTACCATTCGCTGCAATCTGATACTGAACTCTCCACAGCGCTGCTATCTGGCTATTCAATTCGCAGGCAAAAAGAAAATGCCTGAGGACAAACAACAGCAAAACAGGAACAAAAACCAAAGACGGGGGCGTGGGGGGGAGAAGGGAATAATGAGGGTTTATTCAGTTCACGGATAAAAAGTGTACACACCGTGGAAACATAAGGTATTATCCTCATGCACACCCGGAAGTGTCAATCCGCCCTTCCCCATTGTGTTTCACGATTTCACTGTTGGTTACCTGGAAACCGACAACTGGGGGCAACAAAAGGGGGCCGTTTGAAAGCGTTCAAAAATGGGAAAGGGGGAAATGGGGAAAACGCCCCTCACTGCAAACTATCACTAGTCTACAACCACATGAAAAAGCAGAATCAATGTTATTTATCCCCGTCTGCCATCCCAGCCATAATATTACAGCAAATCTTCAAGACAAGGTTACACTCACCTTGTTTCAGTATTTCACTGAGAAAATTCTACGATTTTTTAATAACCGCGACCTGAACAACTTCCTTTGATATTTTAACGTTTATGTTGATCACGTTGAAGATGATGCTGGTCTCTCGGTTCAGTTACAGTCTCCTATGATACAGCATTCAGTGCTGTGACACACAGAGACACATGTCAGTGTTTATTGTCCCTGCTGGCGGCGAATACATTATCAGATTCTGCTCCACTGTGAGCCCCATTCAGAAACACTCCCAACCCAGCTCCACCACAATAACCAGGGCCAGATCCTGGTTGCCCCCCTTACCCCAGCACCTTACCCTTGGCTCAGACAGGATTGCTTCCTCTTCTCAGTTTCCTCCTCCTCCTGCTGCTCTGTTTCTGCTGGAGTGGGATATTCAGAATCCAAATCAAAGCGCATCAGAAACAGCAGCGTCTTCACCAACTGCATAAACCCCACTGCAGGCAGAGCCCAGCTCCGCACTGACTCCGCTCCGGGTTATTGATCCGCACTGACTCCGCTC